AACTGCAGCAACCACATCAGCAGCAGCAACCACATCAGCAGCAGCATCATCATCAATATCCTCAATATCCACCGCCATTACCTTTACCGCCTCAACAACTACAACAACAATTACAACAACAACAACAATTGCATCAGCAACATCAACAAAACTGTCAACAACAACCTCATCAACCTTTCAAAGCAGATGACAGCAACTTAAAAACCACCACCAACAACAACAACATTGGCGCATACATCAATAACAATAGCAACAACAACAGCAACAACAACAACAACGAGATGATAAGCAAAGTTAAGATGAATGAACTGAAGACATATTTCAAGAGCAAGACCCCATCAACATCCGGACCGGCAACACAAACCGCCCAATCCTTCTCTCACAACTCAAAAAAAAGTCCCAACGCCGTCAACAATCCTGTCGGGACAGTCGGTACAAAAAACTCAAGTACCGTTGGTAACACGCCGAGTCAGTTCGGTATGCCGAAATCGATAAGTTTGTTTAAATTTGGTGACAACATAGACAACGCCCCAAAGCAGCAGCAACAACAACAACAAACATCGTCATACGTTAATGGTAATAACACTTCAAAAAACCCGATTATAGCAAATGCTGATACTAGAAATGCTGCTACTACTACTCCTACTACAACTACTACTACTACTAGCATTCCTTCAACTACTACTACTATTACCAACAACCACACGACAACGACGACGTCATCAGCTCCGATCCCGCTAAATATCAAAAGAAACATTTCAGTGATGGGCAAAAATCCGAATGGTGTACCGACTCGGCCCGGTGAAGATGTCGGTCCATTTCAAATTCGCTGTACCGAACTCGTAGAATTCCCCGACATCGAAACGTTTCGCCACTGCGCCGGCGGACGCTCGGCGTTCGACGATTATGACGCTATGGACAATTTCGGCCAAAATTCTTTTTTATCCTTTCTGTACCCGCGAGCCAAACAGCAAAAACAACTCCAACAACAACCACAGCCGCCACAACAACCTCTTGATCTGACTAAACCATCATTATACAGAACAGCAAGCGGGAACAACCTGGCATCAACTGCCCATCACAGCAACAGCATCAACTATTACCACAATAACAGCAATAACATCAACAACTTGGATGACGACAAATCAATCTACTTGACGCCTCACGATCGAATTTCACTTTTAAACATTCAAAAAAGCAGAAAAAGATCAAGTAGTACAAGCGACTTAATCCCATGCAACAGACAACTTGCGCACTGCAACAACAACAACAACAACAATAACAACAACAACAACAATAATAATAAATATAATTTTTCTCAACCCATCTACAAGACAGCAGCTGAAGCAAATGGTCAGCAGCTAGCAGCCAATAGCACGGCGATGCCAGCTAGAGAAAGCACGCATTCATCATTAAACGCCGATGATAACTCCAAAATTGATTGCTTGAAGAACAACACAATCGATAATAATAATAATTACTATAATAATAACGTTAATAATAATAATGGTAATAATAATAATGGTAGTGGTGGTTTTTTCAGACGGTTTAGTAAAACCGTATCCGGCTTGTTGTTTGGCGATGAAGTGGCTTCCGCAACGACACTACCAACAACGACATCTGATACTGCATCTTCTGTCAGTTTGCCACCGATGTTTGCACAACAACCACAACAGCAACTAAAACAGCTACAACAGCAGCAGCATCAACAACAACTGCAGCCACAACAGCAGCAGCATCAACTACTGCAGCCACAACAGCAGCTACAACAGCAGCTGCAGCTGCAACAAACACAACCACAACAGCAGCTACAACAACCACAACAGCAACTGCAGCTGCAACCACAACAGAAGCAACAACAACTAAATACTGATATGTACTATAACAATTTTGCGAAGACAACAACAGCCACAGTGACTACTACTACAGCTACAAACGCTTCCATTGCTACAATTACAACGCCCGTAATGTTTGCTCAACAAAATCAGCAACAACAACAACATCAACAACAACAAATTTCAACAAACAAAAATAATTCACAGCCCAACAAAGAAATGCAGACGCTAAGCGCCCAGCAGCTGCTAATGTTAGCTGCCCAGTTAGCTGCTGAAAACAATTTGTTACCTGCTACTACAGTTACGACAGCAGCGTCTGCAACTAAAACTACAACTGCTACTACATTTACTGCTGCTGTTGCTGCTACTACTACAACTATTTTTTCTACTCCAACTACATTTCAGACTCCTCCCGAAGTGAGTATAGCATTACCTTCCTTTTCCACATCATCTCCAGTCACTTTTTCATTGACAACCTCGCCATATTCAATACTCTCAGCTGCAGACGCTTCAACAACAACGTCAACATTTTTGGCGCCAAAACTAACAACGACATCATCGTTATCATCATCATTGGCACCCTCTCTTACGATGACTATTTCAGCCCTACCATCAAAGCCTATATCTTCCTTCTTTGTTTCTTCATCTTTCAATCAAACTACAACAATGACAACAACTTTCACCGACAATAACCCTGTCTTATATTTGCCAGAAAGAAGCGAAAAACCGATATTAGTTCAGAATCAAAAATTGAACGAGCAATTACCTCAACAACAACAACAACAACAATTTATGCAAAATCAAAAGAATTATGAATATTTGCAGTACATGGAGCAACAACTTTACGAACATCAACCTCAACAACAACAACATCAGCAGCTACAACAGCTCTAGCGAAAGATACAAACACGACAAAATTTCCAACGAATACACAGAATGACGTTACCTTCAATGAAAGCGTCATCGTACCGACTATATCGAACCACAGGTTACGTTGGCTGAATCTGCAAAGTTTACAGGATTTGCATCAGAAAAATTATCACAACATACAACAGATTGAATGTAGGAATGTTGTCAATAACAACAACAACAACAATAACAACAACAACAATAACAATAACAACAACAATGACGACAATAACAACAACAATGACGACAATAACAACAACAATAACTATAGTGATAATAACAAGACGAATGAAAACGCAAACATGAGTCGTGACGTCATAATCAACAACAACAGCATCATCAACAACAACAACAACAAACCAAGGCCACCACCGCTACATATACCGACATACAGACAGCAGCAGCAACAGCAGCAGCAGCTGCTGCAACAACAGCAACAAAGCAATCGAAACGACTCCTCTTCGTCACTGTACCATTCGGTTCCGAATTCTCCGAGCCTATATAACGACACCGAATTCGAACAATTCAAATCACCAATGAAAGTAGATTATAATTTCCCGCTAAAATATTTGCCGCCAGTCACGTCACCGCTCTTCTATGGCGATGACGATTATGAATTTTGAAATTTTGAATTTTTGAATTTTAGTGATGTGCCGTTAGTTGGATAATTTTTGTTGGGTTATATCCAGTGTTAGGTGGGAATTTTATATCATTGCATGTTCGTTTTACTGTTTGTTTGTTCATTTGTTTGTTTGTTTGTTTATTAGTTTTTTTTTCATTTGTTCAACTGAATAGTTATTCATCTACGTTATTCGTTCATTTAATTGCTCAAATGTTCATTCATTTCTTTGTTTCAAGTATTCGAAATGGTCATCTGGTTATTAAACATTGCTTCCAACATTTTGGGTGACTCATTGATTTGGCAATGTTATTATTTTAACAATTATTATTATTATTATTGTTATTATTATTATTGTTATTATTATTATTATTATTATTATTATTATTATTATTGTTGTTGTTATTATTATTATTATTATTATTATTATTATTGATTGAACTACTTTTATTGTTGTTGCTGTTGGGCTTGTTGTTGTTCATTTTAAAGGCACAGTTAAAAAAAAGTTTATCACGGTCACCATCATCATCATCATTATCATCT